GAGTGACCGCAGCGCGGGGGCACGAAGCAGGATCAACGGAGAGGGGCGGTGACGGAAACAGGCGGGCAGGGAAACCAGGCAGGCACGCATGCATGCATGCAGGCAGGCAGCTTCTCGGCACGCGCGCACGGCCCACCCCACACAGCCCGCTGCCCACCTGGTCCGTCGCCCGCCCCCGGCACCGGAATCAGCATGTTGGCGCCGTTGTCCACGGGCTCGCTGTACTTGCGCACCACGTGGTTCAGCCCCAGGTCCAGCTCGTACATGGTCAGGTGCTTCTGTGCCTCGCTGGCGGCCTCGCCCGTGGGGTCCTGCGGGTGGGAAGGAGGGAGGGAGGGAGGGGAAAGGGGAGCAGGGAGGGTGAGCGGAAGGGGGTGCACGTCAGCCTCCCAGCTGCCTCCTCCCGCCTCCGTTGCCCCCTCTGGCCTGCCAACGCTCCGCATGCCTCCCCCCTGCATGCCCCCCCTCCCCCTCCACACCTCGCTGCCACCCCGTCGCCCACCCAGCACACCCACCAACACCCACCCACCCACCCCCACCCCACCCACCCAACCCACCGTGTCCGCCTCTGCGTAGTCCAGCTCGATGGCGGCAAACACGGGGTTGTCGAAGCCCATGTCGAGGCCGGTGAGGGCGTAGCAGAGGTTGGAGCCCTTGTGGGCCTCCAGGGGGGAGGAGATGGTGAGGCGGGCGTCGTTGTCGCGGTTCAGCACATACACAAACTTGGACTTCTCCACCGCAGCGATCATGCAGGCGCGGCCCTTGGGGTCCACAGCCAGGTACTCGCCCGGCACGATGCGCCTGCAGGGGGCGCACGGCATGCCGTGCTTGGGGGGCTGGGAGGGGGGCTGGGAGGGCGCGGGCGGCCCGACGCTGCCGCCGCCCCAGGGCCCGGAGAGCCACAGCCACGCCTGCCTCTTCGTGCCGCCGGCTGGCTGCTGCTGCCAGCTGCTGTAAACCGTGGCTACCGTGGCCGATTCCTCCCTGCTTCACAGGCCCACCTGCCCGTGCACAGTCCCACAGCACCAACACCTTGCCCTCCCCACCCACGCCGGCCCCCGCACCTGCACCCCGACTTGCCAAACGTCTCTGTGTGGATGCGGGTGAAGCAGTTCTTTTCCTTGTTGTACTGCAGGATCACGATGCGCCCAGAGTCCGACCCGCAGATGACGTAGTCCTGCTGCGCGCCCGGGAACCTGCAGCCATGCCAGCAAACGCGCCGGGCCGCGAGGTCGGCATGTGCGCCCCTGCTGCTGCGGCGGCTGCCGTGCATGCCGCTTTGGTGTGCTGGCACACCCCCTGCTGCTGCTGGCACCGCTGCTGGGACCCTGCAGGCAAGGCACGGGAAGCCCGCACGCAGCCGCGCAAGCTCCCGGGGCCGCAGCCGGCCGCACGCACCGGAAGGGCGCCAGGGAGCGGATGATGCCAAACACCTCGGTGCTGTGGATGACCTGCACCTTGCCCGCATCATCCGGCCGCAGCAGCTCCAGCACCTTGCCGCGCGCCGCCACAATCTCGTGCACCTTGGGCGCCGAGAAGTTGCCATAGATGGCACACTGCGGGGCATGGAACAAAGTGTAGGGCGGGAAGTGACGGCGGGGCGGGGCGGGGGCGGGCCCGCTGGCAGCTCGGGGCTGGGCGGCTGGGCGGTGACTGCGCGCTGCCATACACCACCTTCGCCTGGTGCCCTGCCCCACCAGCGCCCCAGGAGGCGGCAGCAGCCCTGGAGGGGAGCAATCGTGACGCAGGCTTACACTGATGGCGCTGGGCCGGCTCAGGGTGAGGTTGTACAGATGCATGCTGCTGCCTTGCACCGCTGCAACAGTGTGCCAAGCAGAGCAACTAAGCGCCCTGTCCCATCAAGCTGCTGGGGCGTGGGGTAGCAAGCAGAGAACGCAATCACACAGTATATGTCAATTGCAGGGCGTGATCGCGAAGAGGGGCCGCCCTGCATGGCCCATGGCCGCCAGCAACGCACTGGTCATGCCCAGTGGCAGCGGAAGCCCCTCCCTCAGGTTCACACAGTGGCTGATCCAGATCGACTCTGTGACCTTGACACGCATTCACCCCTGCTCCTGCCACAGTGCGCCCTCACTATGCGCGCCATCAGCGCTTTGCAAGCGCTAGGCCGCTGCGTGGAGCCCTTGGCAGCCACAGGGATCCTACCATCACGATGCGGTCTACAGAAGAGTGCGGTGAGTGGTTTGGGCTCTGGTGGCATTGCGGTGGGCACAGAAATTCACGAAACCACTGCCTGCCGCTACTCTCTCCGGCCGCAGGCGCCCCTGTCCACGGCCCTGCTATCGACAGGCTGTAGTGGCAGCGGCTGGCGGTTTGGGTTCTCTTCTGCCAGCGCCCAGAACCGGGCGGCGGGCGACGACAAGGCGGCGGCGGCAGACCAGCAGGCGGCAGCAGGCGGCGAGAGCCAGGAGCAGCAGCAGCAGGCAGGGGAGCAGCAGGCGGAAGCAATAGCCAACATGACCCCTGAGCAGCTGGCGCGAGCCTACCAGGAAGCGCACGACGCGCTGGAGAGCGAGCGGAAGCGGGTGAGCATCGGGCTGCCGCTTCACCCGCGTGATGGCGACAGGCAACACCTTCCATCCTTGCTCAGCAGCCCTGCCGCTGCTGGTGATTTCATCGTCTGGAGTAGCACGCTGCAGCATGCGTGCATGTGGGTGTGCATCAGGGGTCCAACAGTGAGAGCAGAGCACCCGCCCACCCGTGCCGGCTGCCTGGCCGTCCTGCAGGCGGAGGACCTCAAGGACAAGCTGCTGCGCACGCTGGCAGACATGGAGAACCTGCGGGAGCGCACGGCGCGCACCTCGGCAGAAACCAAGCAGTTTGCGGTGCAGGTTGGTGAGAGGGGCGCGTGGGCCGCCAGCAGCGCTTGCGCATGGCAGTCGCAAGGCGTGCTCCCGTTGCATCGCCAGGGGCCATCAGCCTCCCTCAAGACTGCCCCCTCCGCGCCTGCCGGCCCGCCCCTTCCTCCCTCCTGCAGGGCCTGGTGAAGAACCTGCTGGAGGTGGCCGACAACCTGGAGCGCGCGGCTGGCAGCGTGCCGCCCGAGGATGTGCACCAGGACAGCGAGATTGACCGGGACCGCGCGCTCAAGCTGCTGCGCAGCCTGCGGGAGGGGGTGCTGATGACGGACACGGTGCTGATGAAGGCAAGCAGGGCAGGGTGGGGGGTGGGAGGAGGGGCCGTGCAGCGCCCTTCAGAGCCTTGCACGCTCTGCCGCTTTGCTCCGGCAGGACCGGCGTGCTCCCGCACGGGGCTTTCCCCCCTCCTTCCATGGTGCCAACCCAACCCTCCACACCGCGGTCCCCCATCGCCTCACAGGTGCTTGCCAAGGAGGGGGTGACTCGGTACGACCCACTGGGCGACAAGTTCGACCCCAACCTGCACAACGCGCTGTTTGAGGTGCCAGACGCAACCAAGGACCCGGGCACCGTGGCGGTGGTGGTCAAGGTGAGGAGCAGCGCGGCGCCTGTGGCTGCTGTCGCTGCGCCCACGCCCTGCACCAGTCCACCCATTGCCTGCACCAGCGCTGTGCCCACTAGTGCGCCCACCAAAGCCGCTGGCTGCCTCATTCCCTGCACCTCGCCTGCCTTCCCGTGCTGCCATGCCCATCTGTAGCGAGGCTATTCGCTGAATGAGCGGGTGGTGCGAGCTGCGGACGTCGGTGTCAGCCGCGCAGAGTAGCCGCAGCGGTGACGGCCCGTGCCTGCCCTCCTGCGCCGTGCCCCTGCGTGCCCGCTGTGTGCAGAGGGGGTATGAGCTGAACGAGCGGGTGGTGCGGGCGGCAGAGGTGGGCGTGAGCAGGGTGCCGGACGAGCAGGAGGGCGGCGAGCAGGACGACACAGGCGGCGGCCCCTAGACCAGGATGAATTTACTTTTGGCTCCAAGGGAGCCATGTGTAACAATCAACAGGGCAGTATAGGGCACTTCTCGTCTTGAATGTGCCTGGCGGCCCGTATGAGTGTGCCTGGCGGCGGCAGCTGCAGCCATGTGATGTACTGACGGGGGTAGCGCCAGGTGCAGTCGGCCCAGCTGCACCCCTTCGCGCTGTCCCCCAACTGCCCCCGAGCAACCTCGATCGCCATGCGAGTGCTGCAGCCCAGGCAGCCCCTGCCTGTGGGCCAGGCCAGGCGAGGGGCAGCCCCATTGACTGCGTGCAGCGCGGTGCAGCGCGGTGCCAACAGAGCACAGGTGCGTGTGCAGCAGCGCGTGGCCGGCTGTGCCAAGCGGCCGGATTGCGCTGGATGGGGTGCCAAGCCCTGGGGGGGCTGCCCCATGTCTGGCTGCAGGGACTGGAGCCAGCGAGCTCCCAACAACACGCTCCCATCCACCTCAACGGATCAGCGCCGCCGCGGCAGGACGTGCTCAATGGGCATGCCGCCGGCGCCGCCGTAGCCGAGCCCGTGCTGCAGGTGGGTTGGCTCAGGCTGGGTGTGTGCACAGCTGCCATCATGGTGCATCCTTCCCAGCGTGTGCATCACTTTTCTGCGCCCTGCAGTTTCACTACCGAACATCGTGGCAGCAGCCCACGCTGCACCGCTCCATCAACGGCGGCGAGTGGCAGGGCGTGCCCATGCGTCAGGTGGTGTCTGGCGGCGGCTGGTGGGAGGCGGCAGACCTGAAGCTGGCCGCCGCCGCCGCCAGCGGCAACGGCAGCGGCGCGGGCAGCGCCGCGCCGCCGCTGCTGGAGTTTGTCGTCACCGACGGGCGGGACGCCTGGGACAAGGCGGCAGACGGCAGCAACTATGCCATCGCGGCGCCCGGGCGGTGGAGCCTGCGCGACGGCCAGCTGGCGGAGGCCTCCCTGCCCGCGGTGCTGGTGTGCAGCGACCTGGACGACACAATGATCGGGGACGACGCCGCCACGGCGGCGTTCAGCAGCTGGTGGCACGAGGAGGCGGTGCCCGCGGGCGGGCGCCTGGTGTATAACACGGGCCGCGCGCTGGACCTGTTTGAGCGGCTGCTGGCGGAGAAGGGGCACTGCATGGCGGAGCCAGACATGCTCATCTCATCCATCGGCACCCGCATCTACGTCAAGTGAGGGAGGCGGGAGGGCATGCATTCCCCGCGCTTGCTGCCGCTGTGCCTTGGCAGGCTGTGGCGCCGCATGCCGACGCAACGCCCTGCTCGTGCGCTGTCGCTGGCGCAGGCAAGGGGGCCGGTGGGTCGAGGACGAGGGGTACACGGCCACGCTGGGCGAGGGGTGGCAGCTGGAGGGGGTGCGGGAGGCGTGCTACCGCGCGCTGGCGCAGGTCGGCAAGGACGCCATGCACTTCAGGTGGGCAGCGGGTGTGTGTGAGCGTGTGTGCATGAGTGGGTGTGCGGGACGAGTGAGCGGTGCAGCAGCGTGCCACGCTGCCCTGGCTGCCCATCGCGTTCGGCTCTCCAGGCCGCGACCGCATGCCGCTGCTCCGCTTGCTTTGCCCCTGCTGCGCGCCGCACCCGCCTTCCCTCCACCGCCGCCCCAGCCGCTGGCCACGCGCGCCGCCCCATCACCGCCCCCGGCTCCCCTGCAGGCCTCCGTCTGAGATGTCTGAGCATAAGGTCACCTGCGGCGTGCGGCTGGATGTGCTGGACAGCGTGCTGGGCGGCATCAAGCGGGACCTGGGCGAGGGCGGCGTGCAGCACCGCGTGGTGGTCAGCGGCAGCGGCGACTGGCGGTTTGTGGACCTGGTGCCGCGCGAGGCGGGCAAGCTGCAGGTGTGGCGAGGGGTGCTGGGGTGGCGAGCGACAGGGGCAGGCGCCGCCCGGCTGGGGTCCTGCTTGCCATGCTGTGAGGTGGCGTGCTCAGCTGCTGGGTGTGGCGCTGCGCGCACGACACGCTGCCACTCCCTGCCCTCCCTGCCCGCTGCAGGCGCTGGAGTATGCGCGGCGCACGCTGGGTTTTGCGCCCGACCAGACCGTGGCCTGCGGCGACTCCGGCAACGACATCGACATGCTGGAGGGGCGGCACCGCTCCATCGTGGTGGGCAACGCGCACCCCGTGCTGCTGGAGTGGGCCGAGGCGCGGCAGCGCGGCCTGGCCGCGGGCACGCCCGGCGGCCAGCTGCTGGTGGCGGGCGGCCACCGCGCGCACGGCATCCTGGAGGGCCTGCAGGCCTTTGGCTTCTGCCTCAGTTGATCGGAAAGGACTGCCGCCCCGCCCGCATCGCAGCTGTGCCACTGCCGTGCTGGGCGGGGTGGCCAGGTGTGGACTCTGCCTCAAGGAACGAACCTGTGTGTCATCTGAGCGGCGCGGGCGCCTGCTCATCGGCGCCATCGCAGCCCCAACTGTACTTACTTCCCCAATCTCCTTCTCCCGCTGCTTGTGCTTAATTGAGCCTTTTCAGTCAGTAGATTCGTTTGATTGTCCCTTTGGCCCCTCCCCTCGATGGAGGCGCCGCCTTGTACCACCCGTGTCTGCGTGCGCCTCCCCTTGCTAGCCTGTTGTGTGTCACTTGCCTCAATTCCATCCCTGCCTGCCGCTTCATTCCCAAACCGTTTGGCACTGACTGCCTCCTCATCTGCAACCCGGAAAGTGCAATCGTTGCAAACCCAACCAAGACGGCAGGCGGCATGAGCGGGTGGATGGCGGCCGTGACCTGCTGTACAGCCAGCATTCCCCCTGCACTCCGCTCCAATTGGCAGCAGCGCTGCTTCCACGCCACCGAGCTCTACCATTGCAGCGTTGTGCAGTGCCAGCGACTTGACGATCGCTTGCCCTCTGAGTTGGGCTGCGCGGAATCAGGCAACACCTGCATGGGTTGGCGGTGATAGGGATCAGGGACGCGACTAGGGCATCACAGCGATGGTGCGGGCCCCCGCCGCCGTCGCCGCCTCGCCAGGCCACGACGCCGCCACAGAGCACGCGAGCTCTTGTCTCACTCGCACCTCGCTGCCTGCAGGCCTCCAGCAGCTGGGTGGCTGTGGACCCCTCCAGCCACTTCAGCCTGCACAACCTGCCCTATGGCATCTTCAGCACGGCGGCCAACCCCACGCCGCGGCCGGGCGTGGCCATCGGCGACAATGTGCTGGACCTGAGTGCCGTTGCCCAGGCGGGGCTGTTCTCGGGGCCTGTGCTGAGCAGCAGCAGCCAGTGCTTCCAACAGGTGGGCGCCTGGGGCTGTGGCTGTGGCTGCGCGATGGGCAGAGGCATGCTAGACATTGCCCCCCCCCCCCCCAACCCCTCCCTCCTTGCTCCTCCCCGCCGCCTTCTCGTCCCCCACGCCGCAGCCCACCCTGAACAGCTTCATGTCGCTGGGGCGTCCGGCATGGCTGGAGGCGCGGCACACGGTGCAGCGGCTGCTGTCGGCGGGGGAAGGGGCGCTG